TCAGACAGGGCCTCCACGCCGGCTCCCTCGGAATCAAAGTAGTCTGGGTCTTCAAGAGTCGCGGGATAGTCAAGAGGGCTGACGATTGAGCCATTGACGCGTTTGCTAACATCCTCCGCGATCTCGCCGATTCTTCCAGATCCCTTGTCCTCACCAGTGCCCCGGACAGCAATCATGTACAATCCATCCGCGCATTCCGTTTTCTCACCCTTCTTTTGACTAAGGGCGGTGGCCGCAAAAATGGCAGCAGAGAGAGCGAAGGGACGCATAGCGGTGATGAAGGGGTAGAGTTTAACGGAGGTTTTAAGGAATGTTGAGAGTGAGAGCTGTGAGAAATGGGTCAGTCAAATTGCGGACAGGTCCGGTGATTGGGGGTATTTATCTCATCTCCAGAGGGACCAGCCTCTTCTAGATCGACCAGGTTTATGGGGTGAATATTCGTTTTTGGATCGGGAGCTTCCAATGGTGGTTTAGCTCGTCATCAAGGGATGGAGAATCCTTGTAACCCCGCAGGTTGTGATCCGAGGTTTGTCTTAGCTTGGGTTAGGTCTGGGGCTAGTCGATGAAATTCCTTGTGAGAGGTGAAATGGTAAAGAAGGACGAGACTTATTTGTTCTTATTGTTGATGTCGATAGTAATGCGCTCTTGGTGGCGCAAGGTTGCTATATTTACCTGCAATAGGTCAGAACCCAAAGTTCATATCGACACTCTCCAATCATGCTACACTCTTCCAAGCCAATCTGACTGAATGTACATTACCTAATTAAATCCGATAGCATAAATGTATCGAAGGAACAGGATGGCTGCGCAAACAAAAAGAAAAATCTTGATAATTTTCATCCTTGCATTTGACGAAGCCTTTGGATCTGTATCACTTGGTGTTGTTGAACGTTGCACACCTTCATTTCTTCATACTACGGACTAGGTACCCTACAGTTGCCTCCGTAGCACAATAGACTACAGACAGCACTCCACTCAAACATGCACTTCTAGAATAGTCACTTTGCAGTTTTCGTACGCCGAGACATATTACAAAGATTGTACAAGAATTGCATCTGAAACATGGGATAGAATTTGATTTGTACACGTCAAGGTTCTCGTTACACTAAACTTTTATGCCACAACTGTTAACGAACATCCCGTTTTAGCAAGGTGAAACAAGCGAAGCTCATCGACTGTCTAAAGAATGGAAGCTGTTGAGACTTTTCTACATTTACAACCAAGGTAGTATCTAGACAGAAGGGTTTAAACAAATAGCGGAAGTTGCTGAAAAGGTGAGGCTTTTATCTGTGGACAATTCAAAATACATTGTTCTTGAGTTGGCAAATAGACCAAGGGAAATCCACTAATAAAATGAGTAGTGGCAACTATGTGTCTCACGTCGAAGAGAAAACGGCGACTGTGGGACAATACTGTCCAATTCATCGTATGAGTTCTCTGGTGCCTTACAAGTTGCTAGCTGCGAGTCACCTACCTATTGAATGCAACATCGATAGAGGTGGTGCACAGTGCACTTCCATCGTCCTGTGATAAGCTAAGTCCCCTAATGAACCCCTGAATCGGAAGTTGGAAGACCAGCAGAAACATGGCATTACGTCAGGGAGATTGCAGTGCTATTTCGATCATTGCAAGGACTAGTAAAATCAAACGCGTTGTTTGGTCATTGTGGGAACGTCGTGTAACTGGCGGGCCCAAGGCAAGGTAACTGGTAACGTAAGCATAAGTTACTGGCGGAACATTTTCGGTTACGAAGGTTGACACCTCGGCCAGAGCTTGTTTGGTAACACAACCGCACCCCAATCCAGACTTTCAGAGATTGCGGCCTCTTCGTTGAATTCTCTTTGTTAAATTTGAGATAGTCAATACTGGCCCTTCCAACTGCGGGAAGAAAACTATTCGAGTGTCAACGAAGCATTTCACGTCCTATGCTATCTCTTTTCAAATCCCTAAGACGCAGATCGATAGCCACAAACGACTGCCAACATCCAGGGAACTGAGCACCGCGATGCCTAGCATGGACAAGAGTGATCAGAGCAATTATACCGGCCTCGGCCTCGGCCTCCCGTAGTGCTTTTGTTCACGGCAGGGATGTCTCAGCTACGACGAGAAGAGTTGAAAGACTGGCATGCACAAGGTTCTTTTACGAAGTTTAACCATCAAAAAGACTTGGCTGACTGTGGCACAGCTCAACTCAACTATAAACGAGTCAGTGAACCGATTTTCGCAAGATCGGGCCCACGATGCCAATTTCAGGGGCAGCTGGCACTGAGAACGCAAATAACGCACGACGGGCTACACAAGACCAGAAGAAGAATACGATCTCACTCCCGATTGCTTCCAACTAGCCTAGAGCTTATGTCAAGAAAGAGGCCGGAAGCCGTTTGGGCACAAAGTTCCTGAAAGGTTGTACGGCTGAGAAAGACCGAAGCTAAGACGCTAAGCCGCAGCCCATCCTTGTCCATCTATACGTACGGGCGGTATCACTGCGCTTCGGCATGGATTCTGACTTAGAG